AGCCCACCCCAGTTGTGGGGTCAAAGCAATATAGTCGAATTGATACTGTTACTAAAAAAAATAATCGTTATTCAGTCTAGGTTAAAATATAAAGTTGGGAAAAGCTTTTACAATCTACGCACACAATGGATAAACCTCATGAAGAAATTGAAGAACTAACATGAAATTCACAATTTCTATTATAAGTATAAATATGATCTTTTCCAAAGTGCGGCAACTTGCCCGATTTTTGCCCCAATGATTCCTCATTGGGGCAAAAGTATTTAAAAAAGAACGAAAGCACTAAAAAGCACTACCAGTAGATGGCGACTCTAGCAAAAGTTGATTTTTGCTGGAAACGAATGGACCAAAAACAGTCAATTCCGTTCCTCTTAACTAACATATTGAAAAAACTGAAATTTGAAAAGTTCGAAACGTAGACATCAATACAAATACGAAAAAATACAAATAGAATATGAGTTGTTTATTGAGTTTTGAAAACTAATTTACTTTTAAATTTGAAAGAAAACCGGTAAGGTTGTCATGGAGAAATCAAGAACGTGTCGCTACGGTACGTAGTTTGTACGGTACGGTACGGTATGTAGTTTGATTTCGGGAACTAATTTTTTTTTAATACTCCTCATTGTATAATTAGCCAAACCAAATTATTGGTTAGTAATCACTAGGTTATAAAGAAAAAAAATCTGTGGTAAGGGAAATCCGGAGTCTTGATCAGGTGCTACATAAATCTTTTAAAATTCGTGCATCTTGTTGTAAGATGTTCTTTTTTTTTCAGATATTATTTTAAAAAACAAAACAGCATACAAAAATCTGTCAGCAATACCGACAGCGTGAATTTTAAACGGGTTGACCTATATACATAGTCTTTTTTTAACGTAATATTTATTTATATTACAGTGTGTTAGTTGAATACATAAATATAAAATCATTAAAAATATATCTAGCTTATTCGAAGTGGTCTCCATTGGCTGCAATACAGTCCTTTAAACGTTGCGGTCAGTTATCAATAGACGCACGCAATCTTTCCATGGGAATAGATTATTTTAAGGTCTCCAAATCAGACTAGATGTCGGCCAGACGAGCTCTGATGAAGTCTGGAACGTTCGTTTCGAAGCAATATTGGGTGGATCCAGCTTTATGAGCTGGCGTCGAGACTTGCTCGAAATACCATTTTAGTTATTGAACATTCTCGAGTAGGAAACAGAGGTTTCATTGTATGTACTTATCAATAGCCCGGTCCAAAAACATTAGGCTAATACCAAGCGTATAGAGGATTTTAAAAATTGTGTATAGCTCCATACCTACTTTATGTAACGCAATCATATAAAAATTACAGATTCGAAATTCAAAAGTAATATTTATTTATTTTAAATTCTAACAGTATTAATGGTCAGTCTAAGTATTAGAATTATGTCTGTCTACATACTATTACCTGATAAAATCTTCCGGATTTCGAATAATAGACGACGACGAAGTATTTAAAAATAATTTATTAAATACTTCGTCGTCGTCTATTATTTATATGACGTGAAATAGCATTTTATATGAAATTCAAAAAATTTTTAATAAAATTTATTTACATTTAACTAAGGTATGTAGGTACCATTTTGTTCGATAATTTTTGAAATCTGAAGGTGCAAAGTCAGGACTATATGGCGGAAGCATAAACACCTCCCAGCCAAACTCTCTTAATTTTGCTGAGTGGCAAAAGATGTGCGAGGCTTAGCATTATCATGATGAAGAACTACACCCAGAATCAATCAAGCACTTCTTGCTTTAATCTCATCAATTGTTCGCAGTAGAGTTCAGAATCGATGGTCCTGCCTGGCGGTAACAGCTCGTAATGAATAATACCACCCAACATACCACTGTAGTGTACCTACATATAAATATTATTTCTTAAATTTAACATGTTAAACAATTTTATATATTGTGTTATTGAGTATTTGTACATATAATTTAATTAAATATAATATTTTTTTATAATGTTTACTTTAACAGATATTTTATCTTATGCATATACATTTATTTATATGTAGGTACACTACACCACTATACACTCAGCATCACCTTGTTGCGAGATAACCCGGGTTTCACTTTTCATAACCAGTTATCAGCTTCTTCAAAAATGGTTTGGTTTCATTACGCCGTAATAAAGAATCTCAAATTAGTACACGGTTCATTAGGTTTCTTTCAGTGAGCTCATGAGTACAAATATCCAACTTTGTGTGTCCATCTTTTTTGAAATGCGCGAAAGCTGTTTTATGATCAATCCCTAGCTCTTCAGCTACGTCGTAACTACTGATATGCCGATCTTATTCCACTTTTCAAAAATAGCATCCATTTTATCCTTAACAGGGCGACCGGAGCGTCATGCATCTTTGACATGATGATTTCCGAACTTAAAACGCTACAACGAAATTTGTGCTACTCTCACTGATGAGCTAAAACCGTGTAGTAAATCAGCGTATGGTATCTTTTAATATTATTTACAACGTTTTATAGTACCAGATACCTAGTTCCGATACTAAGCCGAATAAGCCAGATCTCTTTGGGCTCCAAATGACTGCAAGTGCCCTTGATCAAATCATAAATTGGGCCTTATCTTTCTAATGTCTAGTACGCGTCTTAGCGGGGCGGGGGGGGGGATATAAAATTTCTAAAACTCAATATCAAGTTTCCGCCCTGGGGCTGCATACGATGATGAATTATTTTCAAACTATCGCTTTTACTTAGTTTACTTCTACTTTAGCTAGACACATATTTTTAAATTTTTTGTTTGATTTTGTTACACATATGCAAAGACTGAATTTAGTCAATTATTTAACGTGCAATGTATATCTTTTTTCCACCACGCCCACGCCCACTTCTTTTTCTATAATCTATATCCATTTACCTTAATAAACAAAAGTGAACCGATTTATTATCACCCTTTTTTGACATCTTGCGTCCAAACAAAAAAAATTTTTAAGACAATAATCATGATACTTACTTATTGTGAGTATCGGATAGCATAGTCTTGCGATCACATTATACATGGCGAGCACAATAACACCACATTGTGCCTAACCCTTTAGCATTTCAATGTGATTACTGTAGGTTAGTATAAGGAAGAATAATTGGATGTGGATGAAATTCAAAATTTGATAAACTTAAACTGCGATAAAATAATCATCCACTGCCACTGTCCTGTTTGTCACATATGTCATGTTTATTATTTATTATAATTAATTTAGCAAATAAAATTCCTTTATTAGAAGTTGTTGAAATCGAATTAGTATCTGATTTAAACAAACTACTTTCAACTGGTTATTATGCCTATATATGCCGTGAGTGCAAATAATTAAAAAAATAACTACCTTATTCCTTGTTATCTTAAACTGCTATATATACTTAACCCGTTTTACATAAGATATAGATAAGAAACTCTGCGATGAATAAGGACTTAATAATAAAAACCGCATGTAATTCGGTTCGTAATTCAAGCAATATAGACCACAGAACAATAATACTCTATAGACACACTGACCACTCTATAACTATGACACTGTCGATCCGTCCGTATGTCGGGGGTAAAATCGATAAAATAAGACCATGTTACTGAATTACTTAATACAATAATTCGATGTTATTCTAAACGCCACATAGTAGTCTATATACTCGTTTTCATTTTCATCTCTATGGATTTATTCTAAAAATCGATGTGATTACTCAGTCGCTTGTCGAAATTGAATTAATATTAAGATCAACCTTAGAATAAAATTATTCAAATATTATTCTTGTTATCATCATCCTCAGCCTATTAATGTTCCCACTGCATGGAGAATAGGCTATCCCTGTGGATGAAATTGAATCTCTGAAACGGCTGGATCGATTTGACGGGACTTTCACTGACAGATAGTTTATGTGATAAGGAATTACTAAGGCTACTTTCTAAGCGGACGAAATCGCGGGTACAGCTAGTTTATTTCTATAAATTTTGCATTCACAATGCTGGTATGGTAAACATTGTTTTAAAATGGATTTTTAAGTAATGTTCATCAACTTGGATGCCTTTAAAATACGATGGAATTAATCTGAAATCATTAATAAACTTTTTGGGTAAAAATATTTAAAAATCATTGACACAAATAAATTATTATTCAATTACGATTAATACTATAATAGATAAATCGATGTGAGTAATAAATAATTATATCGGAACATCATTAGTACGTATGCATTAGCGTAGCGTTCGCATGGGCGCTTAAGTAGGTACGTTGCGCGTTAACATGTTAAATTCTTAACGTTAAAATACTTAGCAGCATTAAGCGCTAAGCGCGTTAAATTAACAGACTAAACGCTAATAGCGATAACTAGCGATGGGTTGCTATCCATTTTTTAAATCACGTAACGCAAACGCTATCAGATCGTCAATCACCGATATCAAAACTGTCTATTTTTGATAACTAGTTATTTCCACAACAATAAAGTCAAACCGAATGTTACTCTTATGATAACGCGATAAAGCTCAATTTTGGGTTGGTTACTTGATCACTCCGAAAGACGAATAACGTGAGCATACTAGCATATACCAATTTCATTCACACGTATACTAACATCCTGTTTTTATTTCATTCCAACATGAGAGATTGCATTGTTTATATCCTGTAAATAATATTACGCGTTACATTCTATGCGGTTATCAAAATTGCATTACATGACCGTCAATGTAAAACGTTAATATATAAATATACCTACGTATCGCTGTGAACTGTGATCACCGCTTCTTGGTGATCGCGGTTATTGTAAAGCGAGTCGCCCAAACATCAACCTTAAGGGATTTACCTAAAAGTGAACTCAGCTTTACTTTAAAGCGTTGTGGAAAATAGAGTTATTGTATAACTGAATCACAAGTGATTGCGGTTCAGGCAAATCATTAGTTGAATAACTGTCTATTGCGAATAACGTCCATCGCTAAATTTAACCACTTACATCATTATTTCTAAAGTAAATTTGACACTTGCATGTATAAATTTAGTCAAAGAGAGTTTATAAGAAAAAATATTACAGCCAAAATAAAGATATCTAAACATAAACAAATTAAAACAATTACCACTGTAGTGCTACATCGTAATAAAATGAGTGAAGAATCAAAGAATAATGGTAACGGTATTAGAGAATTGTATTCAATGATACATCAAGAATACATTGTTATGGCTGAATAGTAAGTCGTAATTTTCAATATGTTTTCAGCTTCAAAGCAATAATTATAATTTATATTTGTATATAAATTAAAGTATCATTTATTTTTAGTCGTATGTTACAAACGGAAAATTTACAAGGCATTTATGTTATACCATCATATGAGAATTCTTTCTGTAAGTAAAAACTGGTTACTTTCAAAGCTCCCTAGCTCGTAGATTCGGCTGATAATTTGAACAGACACTTCAGCTTCTAAAGATAATAATGCATGTACCTATATGAAGATATTTTTGTAAATATATTGGTAAATGACCTTCCAAACTAGTGGCTGATAAAAACTTTTACTCTACAAAGGTTTTGAATATAAAATTAAAAATTTATTTAACATTTTAGTATGGTTTGGAGTAATATTTGTAAAAGCTGGATATTATGAAGGTGGTATATTTAGGTTCACACTTACATTGCCTGACAAGTTTCCTGATGAGGAAGTGCCAGTGGGTATTATACAATTAAAGGTTATTTTTTGTTGTAAGGAAACATAGCTGCTGAAACCTAATATCATTATTTTAACATTACAGATTTTAACATTTAACCCAAGTTTATATCATCCAGCTGTTGATGCTAACACAGGAGTACTCAATTTAAGTGGAGTTTTCCCTCAGTGGGATAGGAAAAGAAATCATATTTGGCAAATACTCAAATATTTACAGTGCATATTTCAAAATTTAAATATGAAAGTTCCTTCAAATGTTGAAGCTTCAATGGCGTAAGTGGCAAAAAAAAGATACTTTTTCATAAAATTTAAAAATTAAAATAAAGTTGCATCATCATTTTGCTTACAGGTACAAAACAAATCGAAAAATATTCCTGGAAAAGGTGAAAGAATGCGTAGTATCCAGTATTGATCATTTATACGATGATCCTCCAACAGAAGACAAACATTATATAACATTTACACCTTATGATCCAGAAATTCATGATAGTGCTAAAAATATTATGCTTAAACCGCAAAATCTAAATGAAGGCCAAAATCATGGAATTTCTTGGGTTCAACCTGGTTCATATCAGCCGTTTTCAAAAGAAGAAACTACATAGTTACTGAAATTAAAACCTCTCTATTTTCCTATCAAAACAATAACTGTGAAATGCCATATTTTTAAATACAACTGTGATATGACAGATTGTTCTTGAACTTCATATTTATGGATATCAACCAAATGTTCAAAGTTTTAGTTAACCAATTTAGTGTGTTTTGAATCATATTTGGGTGTTTCTTCCTATCCATAGTTTATGTAAGTGAAACTAAACAGAAATAAGGTTATTAATTAACTGTTAATACAAGAGCTTTATTTATTTTCTATGTTAATACTTAAAATATAATAATGATTCTAATCAGGGTTTACTTTTATTCTAATATTATGTTTTCTTATAGTATCGAAAAACCAGTCTTGATCAATTCTATTATTAGTTTCTTTCCAGTTGAAATGCGTAGGTGATTGGTTTTCACCATTATGAAATTCAAAATTTTTGCTAAGTTCAATGGCAAGCTTCGATCTGACCAGTCCTATTCCACCAAATTTTTCTTCAGCAGGATGGTAAACTCTACCTGTATTTGGTAACATGTATATTTTATTTGGTTCAAATTTTATTTTTAGTAAGTCCCCTGCATATCCATATGTCAAATAATCATCATTTTGTGTAATTAGATGTGTATAAACAATTGGAACATCATCACATCTTATATAATTTCTCTCTCGTCCACATAATGAAATATATGGAAATTCATTTTCGTATCTCCCAGTTCTATTTAAGCGAATTCTTTTAAAGAAAAATTCTAAAAACTTTTTTTCTTTAAAACATGATGTAAAGTTTTTCATTTTAGAATCGTCCAAAAATAACTGAAAAAAAAGGCATAATTTTTAACTATTTTTTACAATGTCCAGTATGTTTTTCTCTGTGATATGCTGTAGATTACTTCTGTTCATATTTAGTGATCTGTGCTAAATGCCTAACAATCCAAAGGTTAAAAGATTTACCTACCATACCCTGATGATCAATATAATAAAAATATTCCCGAATTTTTGGTTCCGGTTCCTGTCCTTGCACATAATTAAGATAACGAGCATTTATTATGTGCCTCATCTTTATTATAAAACTAGATCTTGCTAATAATGACATCCTGTAAATAATAATTTAAGATTAATTTATGTACTCAGGACTGTACGTCAGGTTATCAAAATATGTAGTTTCTACAATTAATTTTAACTTCCACTATCAAAATTTTAAGGTTTAAAATCGGGTAGAAGAAATTTGGCAGTTTTTTGCAGTTCAGTTGCGTCACAGACACAGACTTAGTAGGTATCAGACGACCAACTTCCTAACAAAAAAATTCTTCGTAGAACGTGATTGGGAGCCAGTGATACATGACAGCATCATTCGTTTTAAATATATAGATCTACTATCGGCAAAGGCATTTAGCTATACAGCCCTGTTTTGGGTAGGTACCTAGCCCTCTTCCTAGTTTCCACATTATTTTTACTTTAATTTAAATTCCTTTTTTGTTTTAATACAACAATAATAATAAAGCAGACTGATAAGTCTAGCTTATTATTATTGTTGTATTAAAACAAAAAAGGAAAAATAAACACGTAAATAAAAGACACATTTTTCCAATATTATTTATTGAATAATTTATTTTTTAACTTATTATATTTTTCACAGCTCTCTTCTGCATTTTTAGTGGCACAACCTTATGAAACTTTTCAAGGTAATCACAATTTTTTTTAAAGAGGGCACTGATTTTTGCATACCTTTTTATACACATATTTAAGTTTTCCTAAAATTTCAATTGCCTTTGGCCAGAAAGAATGATGGTGTGTCTTATCTGTCACAGCTCTTTTCCTTTATGCTTTTTTTGTTTATCGATGCTCCATTGACACTATCAAATAATTGGTCAAAGAATGAAACAACTTCAGCTGCATTTCTTAATGTTGTGCACATCCTCATAAGTTGCTGCAAATTAAAATATTCATATAATAATTGTATGAAACTTGATTCAAAACAATTAACTGTTAGTAAATTTCATCTAATACTCACAGAAATTTGCAGTGCAAGACAAAGCTGCAGACATATTTTTACACAATTTTTTACCTGCAAAAAGAGATATCATATTTAAAATTATCTTCATTAGAGAATCATTATTGTAATTTAAGTGTAAACTATATTAACTACTTGTTACATAATTAAAAATACAGGTCATTGAATCAACACTTGCTCTGATAGAGAATATAGAAGCTGAATACAAATTATTTATTTTATTTATACTAATTTAAGTTATACTAATATAATAACCAATGCATTACCTTCATCTTTTTAATTTTATCAGGTATAACTCATTGGTCATTTAATTTATGACGTAGCCCAGCTTCAGTGTGTTGACAGTCTGTCTCATAGACATAAATAATATCATGCCATTTTGCAAGTTTACCACCAAAATTATTCCTGATACATTTTATCAAGTGTGTAGAATCATAATATTCAAATCCACCCCACATATTTTAAGAATGCCAACTGAAACAAAAATTTAAGAACTTCTTAAAACATAGATAACAATATAAAAATAAGAACCTACACTACTTTCATTAAATCTATTAGTTTTCTTTCATATAAATATAATTCTCTGTACCAACCTGTGATTTCAATTTAAAATTTGATCACACTAAGTGTCATCTTTTAGATTTTTGAGTGCTGATGGGAAAGCTGAGCCTTGGTCATATATTATTGGGATTCAACAACTTTTTCTACTACTAACTTTAAATAAACATAAAGGCTGTTGCCACTTGTAAACAGCACCAACATAAATACAAGAGTATGATCTGCAAAATCCACTTTCTTTTCTTGGTGTTCTACAAATCCGTTAATGTTATCTATAATCCTTATTACTTTTATTATACGAAAGTGCTGTTTCTAATGACATCTCATCAAATATAATGGAGCATATTTTTTGGAGTTTCATTTGTCCACCTGAAAAAGTAAATTCAAATAGTAGTAGAAAAAGTAAATATTATTATTTGGTAGTAATACATAAAATTATAAAAGTAGTATGAAAAAACTTATATGGAATATATTTACCTCGTACATGAAGCCTGGTTCTATGATCAATTTTCAAATCATAGTATTCAGTGTAGTTTTAGTAGATAAAATAAAAAATTTTGCTTAAAAATCAATAACACTTTGGACTCTGCTTTAATATTGATAAAGCAATTATCTTTTCTTCGGTAGTGAATCACCTCTCATGTTTATTTTTAGAGCACATGCTCACATGCATTTCAAAAACATTTTTTGCAACTGTGTTAATTTTTTGTCTGAACTTCTCAAATGATAACTTTTTACAAAACTTAAAGGTATTTAAGTATTCTTAACTTTTTTAAGAAAGTTAAACTATGTCTTTGGCTTGTTATATTCTTCATAAATTCTCTGGTATAAAGGTGACAATTGGCTTTATTTGGTAATAAGCCTTTTCCTTTTTCGTTTGGGTACATTTCACAGGGTCTGTAACATCAAAAATATTCAGTGAATTTCTCTATTAGAACTACTATTTGATTGAAATAAAGATACACTAAAGAAAGAGACAGGTCTTACCAGATAGTTTAGTTTGTGTCATATTTTAATCTCCAGAGCAAGCAATTAATTGAGTAAACTCAGTGGCTGCAGACACAGGAGTCTCAATTTGTTCTTTTATAATTACACCACCTATGAAATCAATATTGATTATGTGTGTAAGATTAAAAAACAGGATATAATCTTAGATGATATTAGAAATATGTTATTTATATTATCAATTTTTTCTCTGATTAAAATCACTTCAAGCATGCCCGCTACAGTTAAGTAACTTTATGTAATTTTTCTTTATGTGTGTAAGAAAGAGAGATCTACTAGACTTTTTTAAAGCAAAAATGTATATTAAAATACACCAAAACTGCAGCATGAACTTTGTTATCTAAATAAAATAAATTAAAAACAAACCTCTGTTCAGTTCCACTTTCTAATATGTATGGTCAACATGACTTTTTCTTGCATAGCTGTGTTCCCAAGTGAATATAATTTCTGTAATAAAAAAAAATCTAATGAAGAATAGCGGTATTCCAAAACACAACATAAAGTGAAGATACATATCTTTTTAATTACATTATCTAAAGGTAATAGCAGATTAAACCAGCCTTACCAGTATTGCTTGAAGAGGGTAGGCTGATTGAGAGCCTATCATCATTAAACAATGACGGATATGCATCATCCAAGAGTCATGATTTTGGAGTGATGAATCGTGGTACATCGTGTTTGTTACAAATGACACTTCTGCCTGGATTAAAATTTTCAGTATCACACACAGCACTAAGACATTGTAACCACTTGGAGAATCTTTTCTCGTTCACTAGAATCTTACAAAGAATAGCGTCCTGTTCGTACTTTAATAATGCGTGTAACACAACCATAACACAACACACCAATTTCTTAGGTATCTTCTACAAATAAAAATACTTCGAAAAATGGAGAGTTTATATTACAAATAAAGCGAACAGGGTAAGCACAAAAGAAACTTTACACAATCACTTGTAATTCCCTGATATGTAGGTACATACTTTAGTCTTCTTCTTCTTTTATTAATGGTATATCTGCGCATTTCACACAATTTTGCCAATGTGAAATGAATAAATTAATTCCAACAAGTAAAATTAATTAAAGACTAATTAAAACATTAGTACTTCTTCTTCTTCTTTTATTAATGGCTTATCTGCGCATTTCGCACAATTCTGCCAATGTCAAGTAAATAAATTAGTTTCTACATGTAAAATGAAAATGAAATGAATGAAAGATCAAAACATTAGTATCTTTACTCTTTGTTGTAATGACAGTTTCTGTCAAGTGTCATGTCTCCATCTACTGACAGGGGTGAGGGGCGTGTGGAAATGTCATACATCACTGGACCCCTACGCGATTGGTTTATTGTACGGAGTTGACGGGCCGTGGTCACAGACGAATAAGAGATACTACCACTATGTACCTATCACGGCCCGTCAACTCCGTACAAGAAACCAATCGCGTAGGGGTCCAGTGATGTATGACATTTCCACACGCCCCTCACCCCTGTCAGTAGATGAAGACATGACATCTGACAGAAACTGTCATTACAACAAAGAGTAAAGATACTAATGTTTTAATTAGTCTTTAATTCATTTCATTTTCATTTTACATGTTGGAATTAATTCATTCACTTCACATTGGCAAAATTGTGTGAAATGCGCAGATATGCCATTAATAAAAGAAGAAGAAGACTAAAGTATGTACCTACATATCAGGGAATTACGAGTGATTGAGTAAAGTTTCGTTTGTGCTTACCCTCTTCGCTTTATTTGTAATATAAACTCTCCTTTTTTCGAAGTATTTTTCTTTGTAGAAGATGCCTAGGAAATTGGTGTGTTGTGTTATGGTTGTGTTACACGCATTGTTAAAGTACGAACCTGGACGCTATTCTTTGTAAGATTCTAGTGAACGAGAAAAGATTCTCCAAGTGGTTACAATGTCTTAGTGCTGTGTGTCATTTGTATCATTTGTCATTTGTAGCAAACACGTACCAAGATTCATTACTCCAAAATCACGACTCTTGGGTGACGCATATCCGTCATTGTTTAATGATGATGGGCTCTCAATCAGCCTACCCTCTTCAAGCAATACTGGTAAGGCTGGTTTAATCTGCTATTACCTTTAGATAATGTAATTAAAATGATATGTATCTTCACTTTATGTTGTGTTTTGGAATACCGCTATTCTTCATTACATTTTTTTGTTATTACAGAAATTATATTCACTTGGGAACACAGCTATGCAAGAAAAAGTCATGTTGACCACACATATTAGAAAGTGGAACTGAACAGAGGTTTGTTTTTAATTTATTTTATTTAGATAACAAAGTTCATGCTGCAGTTTTGGTGTATTTTAATATAGATTTTTGCTTTAAAAAAGTCTAGCAGATCTCTCTTTCTTACACACATAAAGAAAAATGACATTCAGATTACTTAATTCTAGCGGGCACGCTAGAAGTGATTTTGATCAGAGAATAAATTGATAATATAAATAACATATTTCTAATATCATCTAAGATTATATCCTGTTTTTTAATC